AGAACGCGCCGCCCCCACCCACAACACACTACGAACTAGAAATAAATGTTTTCAAATGTAATAAGAATAAAAAGCTAAGGGCAGGAGGTTTGGGTGTTGCAATAGGCTCGGCGACACGTGTGCTTTGCGTGCACGAGCCTCTGCACGCATCCACACACCACACACACATACCACACACAGGGATCTAGCCATACCCATCTTTCTTCTCGGGCTTTGGGGCAGCACTGGGACACCGTTTTCCATTCTTCGTTGATATGTAACTACATTGTTTGAAGGGTGCATTCTTGTCTTCAAGAATATGCTTAATGCAAAACTCCTGTCCTTCCAGTCGCGGTTGAGAGCATGGGCGGTGAGTAAATGAACAAGAAAGGGGCTCCTGCGATCTGGGCACTGGGGTGATCCTCCCCCGATTCGTTGGCAAGACGTGAATCCGAATCCTGTTCATACCAAAACCTGCAGGGGTGTGGGAGTCACACAAAAGATCGAAATGGCCTTAACCTTGTCAAAAGTCCTTGTCTGCGTTCTTCCGCGGGTCGGCTGGCAGGGCGAGGGTCGCGCCCTACGTGCCGCCGCCCTCAGGGCTGCTGGTGCTAAGTCACCCACTCACCTCCCCGCCGCCCGCCGCCCCGGCCCGACCACGTTGGCCGAATCCCCACAGCTGCAGACCGGAAGCGCGGCGCCCCGCCCCCACGCCCCGGCACGCCGCCTTTGTCCCGGCCGCCCCAGAGCTCACGGCCCCGGCCCGCAGAGCCTAGTCCTGCAAGCGCCATCTTGTCGTACGGCTCCCGGCACCAGAGAACCCCCGGTTCCCGACAGCCTATCAATCAAGAGTGACCCCGACACTGAAAGAGACCAAGTGCTGTGCTGACCTGACAGAAAGGACAACCGGCAACCTAACAGCAAAGGCGAAGCGCCAGGCACGGCGCCATCTTACCTCCCCGCCGCGCTACGCCGCGCAGCTCACCCTCTGGCCGCTCGAAACGCGGCCGCGCGGCCCCTAAACGCTGATTGGTCTCTGCTCTGAGGGTGATGTGCTGCTATTGGCCAAAGGCAACATATCAGCCCGAGGGAGGCGAGGCGGTGAGAAACTTCGCGACGGGAATGGCTGAGGTGAACTGCCTGTCAGAAACTCGGCCCGTGATTGGGCCATCGGAAAGGCGGGCCACAGCCAGTCGCCAGGTCCGGATATTTTTCCGTCTCAGTGTGGTCCGCCTTCTGATGGCCATGGACTCCAGTCCTCCCAGGCAGCTACTTTGTTACCTTTCCTACACTGCAGGTAAAAAATTGGACAAGGCTGACCCTGCTTATACATGAAAAGGCTTTATTAGTTTTCTATTGTGGAGTTGATCGTAAAAAGAGAATCTACAAACAAATGTAGAAATAGCAAAAAAAAAAAAATAGTAACAGTGCTATGGTAAGCAAATGGACAAGGGGAAAGAGAAAAACGATAGACTTCTAATTACGGAAAAATTCTAAATCCATAGCGGGCCAAAAAAATTAGTACATAGAATCGCTTCCTTCTAAGTAAGTGTATTGAGGAAGCAGATACCAAACAGTCAGATACTGACAGATTCTGCTGTTTCTAATTCTGTGTGTTTGCAAGTGTGCCAGTGAAGGCCAGAAGATGGTTGATGTCCTCTTCTATCCCTCTCTACCCTACTCTCTCCTGGCAGGTGTTGGCACGGGCCTTTAACCTCAGCACCGGGGGACCAACCATCTACAAAGTGAGTTCCCGGACCACTAGGGCTACACAGAGAAACCCCATCTCAAAAAAAAAAAAAAAAAATTAGAGGCCACCAGGTATGGTAGCATGCACCTGTTATCTAAGATCTGAGGACTCTGGAGGTAGAGGTAGGGTCTGGTAACCCGGAGTTTATCTTTTATATATTTATATAAAAGGAACTCGCTCTGTAGACCAGGCGAGACTGGCCTCGAACTCACAGAGATCCACCTGCCTCTGCCTCCTGAGTGCTGGGATTAAAAGCGTTCACCACCACCACCTGGTGGAGCTCACTATTTAAAAAAAAAAAAGTATTATCACATTTATTTATTTGGGAGTGTCACATGTGTGGAGTTCCGAGAACAATTTGCAAGTCAGTCCTCTCCTACCACGTGGGCCATTAGACTTGGTTGCAAGAGCCCTCACCACTGAGCAGTTTTTGTTTTAGTTTGTTGTTCTGGCTAGGCTGGTGGCCAATAATCCCTATGATTCTCTAGTCTCTGCCTCCTCCCCAACACCCCGCCCCAGCACTGGAGTTGCAGCCACACCTGGCCTTTTTCATGAGTGCTGAACACTGGAACTCAACTCCTCACAGCTCGGCACTGTTACCCACTGAACCTGCTGCTCAGCTCCGTTTCTAAGTTCTAAGCATTCTGCACACTTTCCCATTAGCTCTCCCGTATCTCGTTGATCTCCTGTATGTGACTGCTGGCTTGGACCCTTCCTTTGGACTGCAAGTCTACAATTTTGTCATTTTTTTCCCCCAGACCGTTGTGATTTAACTGGACTTGGTCCTATTAGATGCAAAGTCCTCCATTTGTGTACTCATTTCCGGGACAACTACTCAAGGACATCACCCCACATGTTTTCTGAACCTTCCAAAAGCATATGGATATGCTGTAATTTCTCCTACTCAAAAAGTAACAATGTTTATCTTGCCTCTTCCAACTACTACCTCTATTGCTGTACCTAAGCCAGGATCTCCTTACCAGCCCAGCCCAGTCTCAGATTCTCCTGCCCCAGCCTCTTTCATGCTGGGATTACAGGTGTCATTCCCAGCTCCCTTATTCTCTCTTGAATCTTCTCCAGGTAGAATTCTCCCCACAGCAAATTGATAGTCAAGTTTATACATGACCTTTTACCTTGTTAATTCAAATGAAGTTTCTAGGCTTCACTTTTAAGACAATTTTGAAAGATCTAACACACTGGGTCTACTCTTTGCCCAGTCTCTGTAGTCCAGACTGTCCTGAAATCCATGGCAATCCTTCTGCCTCAGCTTCCCAACAGTTGGAATTAGAGGCATGAGCTACTGTGTCCAGCAACTTGTGTTTAGACACACTCACAGGTGAGTCATTCGATTTCCAGTGTCCTCTTACTGGACCTGTTTCCACCTCTCCTCCCCAGCACTGGAGTCACAGGTGTATCACCACACCCAACTTATGTGGGTGCTGGAATCCAAACTCAGGTCCTCATGTTTGTACACCGAGCACTTTACCACTGAGCCTTCTTAAAACATTTTCTAGATCTCTGTACTCTGGTTCCCTCCTTCCTTGGTCACCCATTCTTGTCATTTGAGTCTCTCGTTCATTACCCTCCCACACCAAGTTTTGAAAACAATACTTTCCTCTCTCGTTGTCTTATTCCATTCATAAACTGATGGTTCCCAAGTAGGTACCACTACCCTGAACCTTGCTTTGAATGGCACACTCTACGTCCATCCGTCCAGGAGACCTCCATGAATGTCTATACTAAACTTCTAATTTAATGCTAAGGCCAATTTCCTGTTCCTATTTTCATTAACAGTAGCTCTATCCTTTCAGTTGGTTAAGTCAAAGTCATCCTTGACCTCCCTCTGACTTTACAGCAAATCCCACCAACTATCTCAATGCACTTCTGAAGCCACCTTAACTCTTCTAAGTCAAGTCTGTCCTCTCCTGTCCCCTCCTCTACCCAAAATAAAATAGACAGAATGACCAGAACCCACGATTTTTTTTTTTAAAAGAAGTATCCTTTCTCCATAGGGCTGGAGGGGTGGTTCAGCAATAGAGAGCACTGGATGCTCTTCCAGAGGACCTGGGTCTGATTTCAAGCACCCACAGGATGGCTCACAGCTGTAGCCACTCTAACTCGTGTCAGGGGATATGACACCTCACAGGCATACATGTAGGTAAAACACCAATATACATAAAATAAAAATAATAAATCATTTTTTATTATATTTGGGTGTGGAGACACATGTACGGAGGAGCTTAAAGGGTAACCAGTGGAAGTCAGTTTTCTCCTACCATGTGGGTCCCAGGGATTGTAAGGCTCGGCACTGAGCAGCTTTACCCACTAGGCCATCTCATCAGCTTTCCTTTTAAAGATCTTTAACTACTGGCAATCCTAAAGTTTGACATACTTGCTGCAGTTCTTTTCCTCTAGGTGTATATTCTAGATCTACCTTGTGTAGTGCTCATAGTTTCTCTACATTATCAATTTAACTTTTCTTCTTCAAAATGTAATTCTACCAGGCATGGTAGAACATGCCAGTAATTGATCTCAGCACTCTAGATCTTGGGTGTAGCAAGAGTATGCCATTTGAAGCCAGCTGAGCTACACAGTGAAACTGTCTTGAACAAAACATATTGTCTACCAAAAACATCATTGTGGCTTTTCAAAGATGCAAGATACAGTTATAAATTATATCTTGGTGCTTGGTAGATGAGTGTTTTTAAGCTTTGCTGTCATAGTAAAGCTGTCGTTTTTTGTTTGTTTTTGCCCTTCCAGGTACTCATGCAACAATTTAAGTGAAGAGTTTTCCACATCTACAACATACTTTACACCATCAGGTTCACTGCTGTAGTTAAATCTTAGCTCTCCCAATGGAACTGATGTCCATATGATAGCGTGATAGGAACTTAATACTGTCAAAACCAAAGTGGTAATGAGTCAAGAAAATAAGTCAAAGACTAATTTAAGAACACAGCACATACAAATAACAACCAGGTGTTTCATCATTAACGTTTATTGATGGGATGGATAAATACAGATTGAGAAACATACTTGACAGCAAGATATCAAACTGATAGCCAGACTATAAAATGTGTATACAATATCCTTCTTTAATTTTTTTTTTGAGTTTTTAAAGTTTTTTACAAAGAGCCCTTATGATAATGGTCACTTACATCCTATCATCATTCACCTAACAGCAGTAGAGATCCCAGGAGTAGCACCCAAAACTGAGGTGCCCCACGGAGGACAGAGGCAACAGCAGAATAATATGCTGAGCAGTACAAAATAAGACAAAAAACAAAACAACAAAAAAAGCTCACCACAAAATTGTACCTGAGTGACATAAACTGGTAAAATGTGTTACTTTGCTTTTCATTTTCTTTTTCTTTCTTTTTCTTTTCTTTTTTTTTTTGTTCTTTGGTCTGATAAGAAAATGGACAGTTTTTGATAGAAAATGTGTGGAAAGTAAGGTAATATATATCAGTTTCAAGTTTAGAACCCTAAGTTACACCTTACAGTTTTGAGTTCTTAGGCCAGAAAGCACTTCTACTTTGTAAGTGATTTCATTATGGTCTTCAGCGAATCACTTCCTCTGCTTCCACTGGCATTTCCAGACCACCTGATGGGAGACATACTTGCTTCTGGCTTCAATTAACATGCTGTCAAGCATCCCTCTCCACAATTAGAACGGCAACACAAAACCTATGAGATTCTTCATTCAAGCAGCAATACGCACTCAAAAAGGGAAAGAGCAGACACTGATTTTTATTAAATATTCTTTTCCCTCTTTTTTCCATTGCCAAGTTCATATTAAAAACTTTAGAAATATTAAAATGGAGAGCTCACCCACTTAGAAAACAACTCTGAATTTAGACCACTCCATCAAGTAAAATTACAGTACCATTCTTTTTTCAAACTTCCATCCACTGAGGAATAAGAAATAAATGACTGCTTGGTGTAACAAGAATGTTTCCTAAACCATCAAGATCCAAAATTCAGTCAATGTCAAGACATTTGGGGAGGTATGAATCGTTGAAAGCTCAGTGGGGGGATGGTGGAAAGCTATTTCTCACTAACTGATGGGTTGCATAGACTGCTTAAATTCTCCCAAACCCAGGAGAATAAAATAGGCATTCCAATCAAGATGTCTTAGTTTCTCACTTCCTAGCATGAGTATCAAAATAACTCATCAACAAAAGAAAAAAAAAATCTTTAAAAAAATAATCAGTTCCCAAAATAATGGAAACGCATATATTTAGATTCCAACCATACTAGGATAGATAGGACCCCTCCAATTGCCTTTTTCTAGAAGCAAGGTGTGAGAGGTAATGAGGAATTAGGTTGCAAAGGCTTCAGGAAACCCAGCAGTGATGTTACCATGATTTTGTTTCAATACTCAAATCTACTGCTGTTTGCAATTGGAGATTTCGATTTTTCTATCACTGCCGGTGAAGCTAACAATATAGAAATATGTGGGATACAATAAACCAAAACACTAAAATCATTTACAAGGAAAGGAGGCTGAGAGTCTCAGATACAAAAACCACAATGATTCATGAATGAGAAAAGTAGGCTAATATTTAGGTATTTTCTAAACCCAAAAGGCATAACTGAATACTTCAGAAGACCACACTGGCTTTAGGTTAATGATTCAGAGTTTAGCCAACAACACAGGTATGATTTAAAAAGCCCTAACAACAATCCACAGGTATTTATTTCTGCCAACATAAGAGTCAAGCAAAATTTTAGGAATGAGATTTACAGAAGTTGAGGCTCCAAGCCTGCTTACCACTGTCACTTATTCTTGACAGTTTAGATTAAAAGAAAAAAAGCCATGTTTACAAGGCTGACTTTAGATATACAAATACTACTTCTCAACCTTTGAAGGTCTGAAGGTGGGAGAGACACACAGTTTAGAAGCCTTATTTATACAGAAACAGGACAATATGCATGCTAGCTAGCAGGTGTATCTGCTAATCCAAAAATAATGCAGCAGTTCATGCAGAGCCCATGAGGAGGTTCAGGACCTATGCACAGATCTAAAAGCAGATACTGTAGATATCTGTAGACAATACCAGGAGGAACTAATATAGGAAAAGTCCATAAACTAACCAAATTCAGTGCTGATCTACAGTAGAAGGACCAGACTACAACATGGTCACTCTTTTAGACTCTAGTAAGCACTTTCTAGTTCACTACTGACAGTTCTAAGAAATTAACTACAGCACTGGCATGAAGAACTGCTGTAACAGCAAACACAACAGCCTTTGTGGTAAGGGGGTGCATGTGATTAGAAAATACGTGACATTAGTGAGAGTAATTAAAAGAACATTTTCCCAAATCAGTTATGGTCAATCCCACAAATACAGATGTACTCTAAAATGGCACACTCCCTTTTGGGAAGGTCAGGATGGAAAATAAAATCTAAACGAATACGAAACCTAAACTTAGTAATCATGATGACACATATTTTTTGCACAACACAGGAAATACCAAGAAAGAAAATGTCACTTTAAAAGTTGCATACCAAGAAATATTACTGGCTTACAGATTAGCTAGGAGTTCCTTGCTTTGCACAGCAATGGCAGGCACTCCAGGACAGCTCAAACATGCAGATTACGAACCACGAAGTCACCCTAAGATATATTCCTCCTATACATTCTTCTCTACTGGGCCATTACATCAATAGTAACTGCCACAGTGTTTTTCCTAGGCTGTTCTTGGCAAGCAGCACCCGTACAACTTCTGTTTCCCTATGACTTTCAGCAAAAAGAATCTGACCTCTCCATAAAGACTACTTGGCATGACAGAAGCTTCACTAATTAAAAAAGGAAAACAAAGAAATTATTTTCATAGCACCATCTTTTCCATAGCAAAAAAAAAAAAAAACCAAAAACTACACACACATTTACATGTGTGTGCATACATTTTTTTTTCATGCAGTGAACCAAAGAACAGCAATGATCTGTGGCTAGGTAGCATTTTCAGTTAGAGAGCTTGACTTAGAATTTTTTTTCTAGCCATTTTTCTTCAAAGCTCTCCTTCATCAAAAATATTCCCTACTATCTGGAATAATCAAGCCCCATAACAGGATTCCTGATCCACTTTTTAAAAACAGGACTCTGTCTAGAATCAAAACCACTGAAAAGAAACAATTGAAACACAACCGTGTCTGTTGGCTAGGTTTGCTCACTCATCACACCAGTGCTCTGAATTCACACTCGTCTCTGAAGTCATACAGGCTGCAAACACAAGTGTGCACTTGTTTTCTGTTTGATAGACAGATAAACAGCAAGAATTACATTCATAATGTAACTTAAAATGCAAATTCTTCAGAATCCCAAATCACAATTTCATTGTCTTTAGTATCATTAACTGCATGGCTTCTCCCAAACCTATTACCACACATGGTCTAGTCTCCAACAGACAGGACATGCAAGCACACCCTTCTTCCCTCAGAGACCCAAACTTTCCCAGAGTCCAACCTGAAAAGGCCCAACTCTGTAGGGCAGAAGCCGGCCTTGCTCTTTAAGCTTCTTCCTCAGTCCTCCATCTGCACTGAAAGCACAAAAAGGGTCAAAGGGAAGTTTTCATGATAGTGCTAGAGAGTTGGATCACTGGCTACATCTGTCCAAACTAGAAACTACAGGGCTACTACTCAATTACAACATAAAATGTGTTGCAGTGTGGGGATGATTTACAATGTCAATACATGCCTCTTCATGTTTTCAAGGCCAACTATGCTCTCTAGTAGAATGTGAGGATGTGAAATGGTAGAGGTGGGAAGAAAAAGGTAACATGATTTTTAATCTCTCTCTCTCACACACACACAGACACACATACACACACTTACATACAGTCATACACTTTAAAGGTCTCAATACTTCAAGTGGCCTGAGCCTATCTCACTCCTGGCCAAAAGCCTACCATCCCACCCGCCCTGCACACTCCCACCCTCCAACCCCACCCTCAGTCACTGCTATGTACCTCATACACACAGCAAAATCCCTTCCCCTTCCCGATTATATAAAAAAACTAAACAGATAACTTACTTTCTTTAAATTATTTTTAAGTCTCTTAAAGATCTGACGTTTAAATACTCCCTCTTCTGATATGTTAAACAAACTGCTTGATCACCCCCACGATTCAGTTCCAGCAAGAAGAGGGGAAGAGAACTACTTCAATCAACCCCATAAGGATGAGGAGAGGCCAAGAACAGTGTTCTTAATCCTTCACAGCTTCAACATAATCTTACCTCTGATACCAGTACACACTATAAGAAAATAGATGTATGAGGCAGCAGATATAATAACTGAGGCCCTCCACCACCCTCCCACCTGTCTCAATATCAATTTATTCCTTAGTCCAATGGTGACATATTTCATAAGGGATGTAATTTTCGTAGTCCAGTATCAGTAGTCAAAACAAAAACAAACCAAAAATTCCCCAAAACAAAAAGTATTTTTGAAGTTTTCGCCTCATTTTTTTTTCACTTAGGAAGAGGTGGAAGTGGTGGAGGCGGTTCTGATGGTAGGGGCGGTGGTCGAGGTTTGTCTGTATTGCCAGATCTGGAGATTCCACCAGCTCGTGGATTCATATATTCACCATAAGAATGAACAAATTCAAATGCAGGGGGCTGAGTGGGCTGAACACCTTGGGCACTGAGCAGGGAGTGGAGCATATTCACAGTATCTTGATAATCTATTGACTGAGTTGTATTGTGACCATTAGCCCCAGGAGGGCCTTTATCCAGTTTCATATGAGGAACTCGAGTTTTACAGCTAGGCTGTGAAAAGGGCAGGCTACTTGTGTCTGAGCTATGCCCAGGCAACTGGGTCATTGTAGGAAGAGGAGGGAAGGGGAAATTCAAGGAAGAGGATTTAGTACTCTTGGCAATCTTGGCTGGATGATCAAACACTGCTGCCCCCGTCTCTTCCGGGGGACCCCTCTTACGAGTAGAGCTCGAAGAAGACAAAGTACTAGACAAGCTATACGGTTTGTGTGCTAAGGTGCTGGACTGGCTGCTGTGTTTTGGGTCACCTGGCCGTTTGTTCACAGTACCGACAGGCAGCTGTAAGTGAGAGTGCTTGTGTGAGTGGTGATTGTGATGGTGATGGTGGTTGGTCGGATGAGGCTTGTGCTTTTCTTTGTGCTCCCGGCTCTTGGAGATACTGTCCTCTACAGAATTGTGCTTCTCAGCTGCAGAGTGGACTTTAATGCGCATTTTCATCTCCTCTGGTTTTGAGGAGGCTGCTTTATCTCCACTGGTCACCGGGAGTCTCATTT